CACACACACACACACACACACACACACACACACACACACACACACACAGCTGAAACCTATTATTAGGAATAATGATGCGCACAAAAGCTCATCCATAACCTCTGACACACACACACACACACACAGGTAATAGATGATAATAACACAGTCAGAGCCATTGTTAGCTCTGTTAGCTCTGTTAGCACAGTTAAATCTGTTTGCTCACAGACTCAACATGACGACACTATCGACAAATGCGTGTGACCTTCTACAGTTCACCTGTGCATGTGTGTGTGTCAGCAGTCAATCAATCATTTAATCAGGCAGCTGACGAGGCAGTAAAAAAATGATGGAATGGAGGAAGAAGATGACAAATAGGAAGAGAGGAAGAGGAAGAAAGGAGACTAGGAAGCAGAGAGGAAGAGGAGAGGAGGAAGAAGATAAAGAGGTAGAGGAGGAAGAGGAGCGGAAAGGAAGGAAGGAGGAAGAGAGGGGAGGAGGAAGAGGAGAGGAAAGGAAGAGGAGGAAGAGAGGGGAGGAAAAGGATCAGAGAATTAAATTATGAAGTTAATTTCCTCTCCATTAATTGAATATTTCACTGATCATAAATTATCGTCCAATCACCAATCACTGCTCTTAACAGGAAGGTCTCACAGACACACACACTAAAGGAGCTTAAAAAAAAATCACAGTCTGAACACCTGAACGCACCTCAGTGAAGAGGCTCCGCCTCCTTAAAGGGAACTCAACAACAAACTAAAGACATCACAACACAGAAAGAGAAACAATGAAGTACTAGCAGTACTACCAGTACTAGCAGTAGTATCAGTAGTATCAGTAGTATACCTGTCTGTAGCATTAGTAGTATTTGTACATGTCTGTAGTATTGGTACTGTCAGTACTATCAGTACTACCAGTAGTATCAGTACTACCAGTAATATCAGTACTATCAGTAGTATTAGTACTATCAGTAGTACCTGTTGGTTTCCTTCTCCACCAGCAGGCAGGTGACTGAGTGTCTCAGACAGTAGATTCCTCCAAACACAGCACACATCCTGAAAAACAACAACAACATCATCATCACCATCATCCAATCAGCACAAAGGAAAACATTTACATTCCAATTGATTGGTCCATCAGTCTGGTGTAGGTGGAGCTCCATGTCACATTCAACTCTAATGCTAAAATGCAAAGGGTATCATGTTGTACTTGTACACGGCTCAAATATTCTGCTACCTACCCGTCCGTTCACCCACCTACCCGTCCGTCAGCCTACCTACCCGTCCGTCTACCCGTCCGTCTACCCGTCCGTCCGTCCGCCTTCCTACCCGTCCGTCTGTCCGCCTTCCTACCCGTTTGTCTACCTTTTTACCTACCTACCTTACCTACCTGTCTGTCTACCAGCTGCTATGTTAGCAGCAGCCATGTTGGTTGTGTATTTTGTTGATAAGTGTCTCTGGGGTACTGAAGAGACATCAGTGATGAAGACTTCTGGAGCTGTTAGCTCCCGTCACTGGAGAGCTAACGTAGCCACATTGAGGCTGGTTTCATTAATCACATTAAACACGTCGACCTTTTCCTGAAGAGCGAACACACACTCACAACAATCTGTCATCAGGTGTTAATTACTGTTTGCGGGTGTGTTCTCCTCTCTTTGAAGCAACTTAAGATGGTGAGCCAAATCTCTCTCTCTCTCTCTCGCTGAATATGAATTAATGTGTTCTGTGTGTGCGTCCTTGATTAAAAGAAAACAAAGCATTAACTGTTGAGACAAAGGAAAATTACAACACACACACACCAGATGCGTGTGTGCTGGAGTAATCCTGTTGATGGTTTCCAGTTGAATGAGTGTGTGTTTAGTCTCTCAGGATGATGAACTGAGTCCACTAAGAGGTCTCAGATGGAGACTTTAAGTAACATGTTGTCACTTTATATTTAACCTTCTCAGTAAAAATCCAGAATAGAACATTGTGGCGTCGGTAAGAACTGTGTTTATTAATACAAACTGTTTTATTATCATTTAAAAGCTACATTCGTAAGGAGCCAAACTGACTCTATAGAATAAAAGAATGTCCTTCAGTAAACTATCAGCACATTAAAACATATTATTATAATAATAATGTGTTACCTACGATGTGACATGAAGGTTTAAGTTATTTAATTTGGTGTCATTTAGCAGCTGGCTAGTTAGCACGCTAACGTTAGTGTGTGTGTGTGTGGTCATATCCTCTGAGGCTCACAGAATACGTAAATGAGCTAAGCCCTGGGCGCCACCCCCTCATGCATATAGAGAGAGTTCTCTCCAGAGAACCCTTCTATGGTGTAAGAGTTCCAGCCAGAACCCCTATGAGAGAAGTACTCAAATGTAGGTACTTGTACTTGTTTGAATAAAAGTGGCATTGGTGCATCCCGAGTGGTACCAGTAGTAGCACTTGTAACAGTACCAAAACCAATAGTAGTAGTATTAGTAGTATTGTCAGTATTACACCACATGGCAGACAGACAGGTTCTTACCTACAGAAACACTGGGGTATCTCTCCGAGGCCGTAGACAGGAAACAGGAAGGGCGTGTTGCCGTAGCGACCCAGGCTGCGTAGGAAGTGACGCGTGGAGGCGAGGCCCTCCTCTGTGGGCGTCTCTTCTGTTACCATGGCGATGGAGTGAAGCAGGAAGTGCTGCAGGTTGTCACCAAGCTGCTGGTCACACAGGAACTCCAAATATGGCCGACCATTGTAGGCTGGAGTCAACAGGGATTAAGGACTTCATTACCCACAATGCCTCTGGAACTGACATGTCAGCGGTTGGTCAGGTGACCTGTCTTACCTCGCTGCTCCTCCGTTTCCTCCACACAGGAAGTCAGGTAACGCATCAACTTCCTCTTTTCTACCACAGACAGCTGACGACTCGCAAACACATCAGCTCTGCTGCAGGGCACCTGAGAGACAGACAGGTACACACAGAGAGACAGGTCAATCAGAGAGATGTACAGGTACACAGTCCGAGAGACAGACAGGTACACACACACACACACACACACGCAGAGAGCGAGAGAGACTGGTGGAAAAATTATTTGACCCACTGTTGAGTCTTTTTAAGCTGAAATTAAGGATATTGTCAAACAGAACTTGTCTTTTAAAAGTATTTATTCTCTGGCCAGAGAAGAGGCACAGTTACACAGAGTCACTCGGACTCTGTAGAAGTGTGCACTGCAGAAGTAAAAATCACACAGAGTTACAGTATATACAAGAGTGATCAAGGGTGGGGGCCTGTGTACTGGAACATCCCGTTTCAGGCTGTGCAGGCCATGGTAGTAAAGTATAAGAGGTGCTTTATCTGTGCAACAACAGACACACAGATATACTGTATACGTTTTATCCTCTTAAGAACGAGCCCTATTTTTAGGCCTCTGCTCGAAAATTGCGTACCCATACTAAAAAGACTGTAAATCTGCAATTACAAGGTCTATTTTAATTATTTTGATGGTATAGTACAGGTAACACTTGTGAGATGTGTTCATACGTGTAAATATTGTGTATATGTTACTGGTTAATAGTGAATGAAGATGGCACCCAGCTCAAATTGAAAAGTTTCAGGTTCACCTGAAAAAAAGCACTGAAAGCATGAATATCTATTTTTAATGATGCAGGTGAAAGCTAAACTAAGCTAAACAACACAGAGCGAGAGAGAGATGTAAGGGTACACAGAGAGACAGACAGACAGGTGGTGTACTAACCTGTTCCACCTGTCCGTGGCGATAGGTGAGTATTCTGGTGACATTCTTGAACTCTGCATAGCGACTGACATTTGATTTGATGAGCAGGTCGACCAATGAGCCGCGAGAGTACAAGAGCTGGAGGAAGAAGACAAACCTTTAACCATAATAATATTCATGATTTAACATTGTCATGTTATACCTTGTTATAATGTTATTTCAAATTGATGTTTTATTATAACGTTATGTTGTATTGCATTATCCATAAGTTATATAGTTATGTTATGTTGTATTTTTATATTGTTATGTTATATTCTTGTGGAGTTATATTGTTGATGTAATATTGTTATGTTATATTGTTGTGATGTTATATTGTTATTATATTGTTACGTTATATTCTTGTAATGTTATATTGTTGTTTTGTTCTTTATATTGTTACGTTATATTGTTATGTTATGTTGTTGTAATGTTATATTGTGATGTTATATTGTTGTTTTGTTCTTTATATTGTTACGTTATATTGTTATGTTATGTTGTTATACGTTGTATTGTTGTTTATGTTTTATTGATATGATATATTGTTGTGATGTTATATTGTTATGTTATGTTGGTATGTCATGTTATATTGTTGTAATGTTATATTGTGATGTTATTAGGGCCCGAGCACCGACGTAGTCGGAGCGGAGGACCTATTGTTATTCTAATGTTTATTATTATTATTCTTCTTAGTGTTTCGTCGCAAAAAGGAGGTGCTTGGGATACTGTGAAAATGTCGAAATTTGGCACGCAAGGCAGAATTTGCGAAAATTGCAGTCTGATTGGGGTGTCCACCTGCGGTATGAAATATTGGCTCGATAGTGCCCCCTATTGAGTAGCCCCAACATTGGGTTTCACCTAGCTGTATGAAATTTGGTAGGCATGTGGATCGTGATGAGACGCACAAAAAATCCTCTTGGAGTTTTTCATTAAACCAAACAGGAAGTCGGCCATTTTGACTTTTATGACGTTTTTTGACCGTTTCAAGGCGTCATACTTTAACAAACTCCTCCTAGAGATTTGACCCGATTGACTTCAGATTCGGTCAGTATGCTCTTGAGACCTTGGCAGTGAAAAGTTACTCAAAGATCAAAAAGTTATCGAACTATGTGTTCGTGGCGTGGCGTCAAAAAAAAACACCATTCGCCGTGAAACAGGAAGTTGTTGTAACTCGGCCGTACATTGTCTAATCTGCTCCAAATTTCGAATCATAGTAATAGCGCCACCTAGTGGCAACCGGAAGTTGTAAGTTGTGTACTTTGACATCTTGCTCCTCACAGATTAATCAGATCCCTCTCAAATGTTGTCAGAACAGCCTTAAGACCTTGATAATGCTTCATTGTGAAGATTGTAAGAAGTTGTTCTTACAATCTTCACGGCGGCGACGTGGCGGCTCGGCGAATTTCGATCCTTCGCCATGAACGAATAAACTGATGTAACTCAACTCCACATCATCAGATCTTTACCAGATTTCACAGATTTGATGAGACTCCAGGCCTGAAGACATCTGCAGGCCAATTTTGAATCATAGTCATAGCGCCACCTACTGGTAATAGGAAGTTAAAGTATTTATACTTTGGCTTGTTTCTCTTAGTAGGTAAATCAAATCAATTTCAAATTAGTTCCACACAAATATAAGAAGTTCATAATGCCAGTTCATGAAGCTTCTGATGTTTCGTCGAACGCCGTTGCCGTGGCGATGCAGTCTTCGCCGTTAACAACGAAGGTAATTTTGAGAGGCTAAAAATGCTCGAAACATAAGCAAACTTGGCAAGCAGATTACAAGCCCGAAATGTAGTTATATAATATGATTTTATTGGTTCAGAGTGGCAAATCGGCTCAATAGCGCCCCCTACAAAATTTCGACGAAGCAGCCCTCGCTGTACGTTTCACATAGATTTACAAAGTTTGGTAGGCACATGTATCACATGTGGACTTAAAAAAAAGTCTTAGGGGTCTAAGCTCTAAACACAACCGGAAGTCAGCCATTTTGAATTTTGTATGCATTTCTCGTGTTTTTTTTCTATTTCCAGGTGCTGTACTACGAACTCCTAGGGAATTAATCCGATCAGCTTAGAATTTGGTCAGAACAATCTAAAGACCTTAGCAAATAAAAGTTACTAAAAGCTTTAGGTTTCATCGAACGACGTGGATATGGTGTGATGGCCATTTTACATGGTTCGCCATCATCCATCAAGCTGTTGTAACTCGACTGTACTTTGTCAAAACTGTCCCAAACTTGACATGCTTGTTGACTGTCATGGCTTTAGGACTTCTGCATGCCAATATTAACTCATAGTCATAGCGCCACCTACTGATAAGCACGGACGTAAGCAGGATTCTATAATTACAGCGCCCCAAACACTGAACTTATTGAAAGGGTTTGTGGACACACCATGAGAAAAATACTTCTCTGATCTAAATATGTGCAAACTAAGATCCTTGGAGAGCAGAAGTTAGAACAGTGGTTCTCAAACCATGTCAGTGGGCATTAGTGGAGTTGCAGGGAGTTGAACCCCATCCCAGTAAACTGACAGTCTGTTATGTTACAAACACTGAAGCACATTCACACACATTCATTTTCTTAATGATCTTTAAAGGCTTACATTTATGATTGTATCGCATATACACTCAAAACATTTGAGGCTTAAGACCTGGCAACATGATCTTGCTACGCTGCTGGTCTACGCAGGAAATATCTCACTCGTGCACGCAGAGTGTTGTGGACACAGAAATTCATGGCCGCGTCACCCAGAGTCCTGCCAGTACCAGGAAATACCGTTTAACTCGTGCACGAAGTGTATGACGGTCACAGAAATGCATGGCCAGAGTCCTCCTAGTACCCTCGACATGCGTGAAGTTGCGAGGGCCCGATCAATGCTGCTCGCAGCTTTAATATTGTTTTGCTCTTTATATTGTTACGTTACATTGTTGTGATGTTATATTGTTATGTTGGTATGTCATGTTATATTGTTGTAATGTTATATTGTGATGTTATATTGTTGTTTTGTTCTTATATTGTTACGTTATATTGTTGTGATGTTATATTGTTGTTATGTTGGTATGTCATGTTATATTGTTGTGATGTTATATTGTTATGTTATTGTATGTTGTATTGTTGTTTATGTTTTATTGATATGATATATTGTTGTGTTAACGTTATATAATGTTATAACTCAATATAACTTATGTATTATAACATTATATAACGTTATGTGTTATAACATTAAATAATGTTATATTACAATGTAATATATTACAATGCTGTTGTTATAGTTGTATGTAATGTTCCATTTATATAAAATTGCTATACTGTTATATTGTTATGTTAAACTATATTATTTTCATATTACATTGCTGTTATGTTATACTGTTGTAGTGTGATATTGTAAAGTTATATTGTTATATAATGATATGTATTATAACATTATATTGCTATGTTACATTATGTTGTATTACATTACTGTTATGTAATATTGGTATGTAGTATTCCGTTTATATGAAATTGCTATATTATGTTATATTGTTATGTTATATTATTTTCATATAACATTGCTGTTATGTCATATTGTTATGTAGTATTCTTGTTTTGCTATGTTATATTGTTATGTAGTATTCCAGGGTTCATACACATTTTGACCAATGGATTTCCATGACTTTTCCATGACTTTAAACCAAATTTCCATGACCAAACATTTTGTGAAATCTCGGTGTATACATGAAAAAGTGAGAAAATGTATTTAAACGAACAATGAGAATTCCAAAGCATACAGTCTACCTTAAATGACACAAACAAATGAGAGACAATAGTTTGATTAAAAGAATAAACATTTATAAATATACTCTGGTTGACACTGACGTATCAATAAGAGCTTTAGTAGGTAGTAGCATCTAGCTAGTGCACATATTGCTTTCCCTTATGTAGTGCAAATATTTCATTGAACCCTGTTACTGTACGGCTTAATATTAACTTCCACTGTTACTGTACAGCTGTTGGAATTGTGGCCTATCTTCTATTTGCAATTAATATGCATTCAATCCAGTTCAATTATTTAAATGAAAATGATAATCTACTCTGGCTAAAGTAGCTTATCAAGAGTAAAATAATAGCTGTGATCTAGACACACCTCTGCATTAGCAACCTGCTGAAATGAAGGTACAGGCACCTTAACCCTCTCATTACTTCAGGGTTCTTGAGAGCAACGTGGGACTGTTGGGACTGTTAGTACACTGGCTGTGGTCATCACAGTGAACAGTGTGTACAGTGTGATGAGAGGACATGTGAGCCCTTGTTGCTGTACTTTATCTCCTTGGAGCAGAGGCTGCATGTAGCATACCCTGCCTTATCAATGTATTTAAAACACTGTAACAGCAGGAAGCTGTACTCACGTCTGTTTAGACCTCCACCTTTATCCAGGCCCACCTCCACCTTTATCCAGGCCCAGCTCCACTCACATCTCAGCCCTGCGTCAAGCTGCGCTACACAACCAGCCTCCTGAAGCTCTCTGACCTCATCATCTCATCAGTATCTGGGCCTCATCATCTCATCAGTATCTGGGCCTCATCATCTCATCAGTATCTGGGCCTCATGTTTCGTGGTCATGAAAGTTATTCTGACCACGAAATCATCCTCATTCTACTTTGAGTTAAAAAAAACAACCTGCAACCAGATGCGCCGGTGTTCCGGTTTAACGTTAATGAGTGACCGCGTGAACTGAACCGGAACACGGGGGGGGGGGCTGCATGTTTCATAACGCTGCGTTTTTTCCTTCTAAATCGCGATAATGACGAACGTTAACAGTCGACAAAGTTCCGCATGCAGTGGACGTTAACTTAACCCAGCAAGTCTGAACTTTAACGGAACATAACGGAACTTTAACGGAGGGAAATTGTAGGACGTTGTAGACATCTTAACGCTGATTGGCCAAGACTCGACACGTCAAAGATGTTCTATTGTGAAGATCACGACATCACCTTTTCTCCTCGTCTCACTCCAATCTGAGAAATGCTGGCTGGCAACTCGGTGTAAATGAACGACATGAAAATATGAATATAACACATTTCCATGGATTTTTTAAAAATCTTTTGGGATTTTATTTTTTCCAATAACCATTTTAAAATTCCATGACTTTTCCAGGTTTTCCATGACTGTATGAACCCTGGTATTCTTGTTTTGTTACGTTATATTGTTATGTAGTATTCTTGTTTTGTTATGTTATATTTAGTGCTGGGCAAGTTAACGCGGTAACGCATTCAATAATTAAAGCCAGCAATTATTTTATCGCGCATTAACGCATTTTTAAAAATTTATTATTATAATTCTTTTTTTTTTTTTTTTAAATTGAAAGACAAGAGACAATACATAGACATAACAACAAGAGGATGACAAGAACAGTGGGATAAAAGCCAGCAAACATCCACGCGTGTGTACGTGTGCGCGCGCGCAAACCTGAGTGTGTATGTCCTTGAGCCTTTTGAGATGGGAAAAAATAATAATAATAATAATAATAAATAATAATAATTAAAAAACAACAACAAGAAAACAAAAAAAACAGGTACGTATTTTTAATTTATTATTATTTTAACAGACTGTCTCATGTTTATCGTTTTGTATTGGAGATGATATGTCCCTTCAGGTTTGCCGTAGAGAAAAGGCGACTTCCGCTTCTGGTCGAGGGGGGGGGGGGGGGCAGAAATAAAGAGAGAAGCTGCACCAGCTGTTGCTCTCCCTGGAGACTACTGGACATCGCTGCGGTAAAGTCAGCAGACACTCAGATCTCCGTGGTCAACTCAGCAGACACTTACATGTTAGTGCACTTATATGCTGAAATTCACCGTAAACGCATTTAAACGGCACAGATCGGGAGCGAGCGAAGGACTTTGAAAGTTAGCGGAAAGATTAACGTGAGACAACATCCGGTTTCTTCAGACGAACATCCGGTTTTCAGAATAAGATGCCAACAAAGTATGAATTATATTCACATTAAGTATAAAACATGCTACCTGCATTTCGTGAACCAAATGTTATTGCCTTTTGTTCATATAGCAGTACTTTTAAAATAAAAGTGCGCAATACACTACTTTTGAATTCATTATTGAACTTTGCCATAACAATGAGATTAATCGCAAAAAATCCATGCGATTAATCGTGATTAAATATTTTAATCGTTGCCCAGCACTAGTTATATTGTTATGTAGTATTCTTGTTTTGTTATATTGTTATGTAGTATTCTTGTTTTGTTATATTGTTATGTAGTATTCTTGTTTTGTTATGTTATATTGTTATGCAGTATTCTTGTTTTGCTATGTTATATTGTTATGTAGTATTCTGTTTATATGAACCTGCATCATATTGTTATATTGTGAAGTTATATTACACTGCGTTACCTTGGAGACCAGGTCGATGTTGAACCTGCGTCCTTCCTTCACCAGCTGAGCGTAGCTGATCTTCTTCTTGGTCGGCTCTGATTGGATCTGAGCAGCAGTGGGGGTTGGCTGGTCTGGCTCTGGCTCCTCCCCCTCTGTTTGGGAGGCCTGTGTGATTGAACAAAAAGTATTCACCCATCATCCAGAACTGTAATTATCTGTTGATATTTATTGTTGAGCAAGGAAAAATACAGTAATACAATAAATATAGCATATAAATAAATAGAAGAATAACATAAATACATTTTTAATAGACAGACAGAGACAGACAGAGAGACAGAGAGAGACAGACAGAGAGAGAGAGACAGACAGAGAGACACAGAGGCAGAGAGACTGACTGACTGAGAGAACCAGAGACAGACAGACAGACAGAGTGAGAGACAGACAGACAGACAGACAGACTGAGAGACAGACAGATGGAGAGAACCAGAGACAGACAGACAGACAGAGAGACAGACAGATGGAGAGAACCAGAGACAGACAGACAGACAGAGAGACAGACAGATGGAGAGAACCAGAGACAGACAGACAGACATAGAGACAGACAGATCCCGTAGATGTTTTCATGTAAACCTGAGATAAGATCAAAGGTCTCCTCGTTGGACCTTTCTACCTTCCTCACCTCTTCTTCTTCTTCTGGTTTCTGGTTTGTTTCTTCGTACTTTGAATCTACAACAAAAGAAAAACACATTTGTGTTTTTTTCTGCAGAATTCAGATTAAAGTCTGAATTATATTTATTATATTGAAGTGTTTCTGACTGAAACCTGCAGATTCTTCTTCTGTGGTGTTTGGAGCATCAGGACTCTGAGCTTCCTCCTCTTCGTCTTCCTCACTGAGAGCAACATTAATAACTCAATGAAGAACTTATTGATATCTGTGTCTCAGGACACACGTTCACGATGTGTGAACGTGTGTCCTGAGACCACAATAAACTACAATTCGGCCTCAAGTTGTAGTTTACACCTATATCTGTCCGATCGTATTTGTGTGAAATTGTCATAATTAGCATATTCATTCTTAAGTTATGTGGTCAGAGTTGAGGAGGACGAGGACTACCTGGTGAAGCAGAACACCTGCAGGTTTCTGACGGAGGCGGAGTCAGAGTCTGACAGATAGATCAGCTCCTCCCCTTCCTCCAACAGACTGGACCAATCATGGAGCTCTTCTGGCTGAGGCTCCTCCTACAGCGCGCACAGACACACAGACACACGCACACAGGTCAGTAATCATTCTATACTTTCTCTACCTTCTATACTTTATATACCACACCTGTAGTGGGCCCAGTAGGACTATGCTTACTGGGCCCACTACAGGTGTGGTCGACTACTTTAACAGGTTCAGTAGCAGCCAATCAGAGAGCAGCGAGTTCCTCACATGGTGCTGTTGTATCCAGGCGAGTAGAGAGTTGAAGGTGAAGCTCGCCCAGTTAGCTGCATAATAACTCCTCCTGAACACACACACAGTTTACAGTCAGCTCACAATATTTGGATTTTGCCATATTAATAATTACAAAACTGAAATATATTTAAAATCATGAGAACTTACCTGTCGAGGTGAAGAACTCTCTGACCGACTCTGGAGAAAGCTGCTGCTACCACCGACTCAGCAAGACCTCAACACACGATCAATAATCGAGAATAAATTACTGCAGTACTATATATACCTCTGAGATGTAGTACAGTACAAAGTACAACATGTACCTCTGAGATGTAGTACAGTACAAAGTACAACATGTACCTCTGAGATGTCGTACAGTACAAAGTACAACATGTACCTCTGAGATGTCGTACAGTATGAGTACAACATGTACCTCTGAGATGTCGTACAGTATAAGTACAACATGTACCTCTGAGATGTCGTACAGTATAA